CCGCCTCCCACGCGTTCGCCGCCGGGTCGTACCGCTCCACCGAGCTGAGGTCGCCGTCGGCGTTGTTGCAGCCACCCACAGCGTACAGCTTGCCGTCGAGCACCGCCACACCATGGTCGCTCCGCGCCTCCGCCATCGGCGCCACTTCCTCCCACGCGTTCGTGGCCAGGTCGTACCGCTCCACCAGGTTGGAAGTTGCGCTGTCAGCCTCGCCATCCTCATCCTCGCCATCAGCCTCACTCTCGCCGCCCGCCGCGTAGAGCTTGCCATCGAGCACCGCCGTGCCGACATACCTTCCTGCCGAAGGCATCGGCGCCACAGCCTCCTCCTCCCACGCATTCGTTGACGGGTCGTACCGCTCCAGCGAGCTGAGGAACTCGCCCTCGCTGCCTTCGCCGCCGTCTTCGCCGCCGATCACGAGCAGGCGCGGCCTCTCGCTCAGCGTCTCCTTCCAGCCGCGGCGCCACGCGCGGCACGTCCCCTTGGCGGCGTGCTCCTTGGTCGGCAGCTGGGCGAGGATGTGCGGGGCGAGGTCCGGCGAGAGGAGGACCTCGGAGAGCACCCACTCGGGCTGCTCCGCGAGCCGAGCGGCGTGCTCCTCCGCCACGCGCATTGCGGCGGCGCTCCAGAGAGGCGCCTGCTCGTCGATGAAGGCGACGAGCTGCTCTGGCGAGAGGCCAGACAGGCGGGCGCCGATGCGGTGGGAGGCCATCGGCGCGGCGGCGCGGGCAATGGCGCGGGCAACGTATCCGTATTTTCGGAGAGGCCTGCCGAGGCCAGGACTGCGGCCGGCCAGGGAGGTCTTTGTACTGCGGAATTCGCTTTCTTTTTCAGTCTCTCTCTCGGTGATATTGCTCTCTGGAACATTGAAAGAGAAGAAAGAACGTACATTCCCGGAGGAGGAAAGAAATAAAAACAAAAAAAACTAGCCGTCGCGCCACCTACCAGGAGCCTTCGCCAACTAAAAAACACAGCACCGATGCCGACTTAGTGTGGGGAGGGTCGGTGAGCACTCACTCACTAGGCGGCGCCGCAGGGCTGGGGCACTGGCCACGGCCTCGCCGACCACTAGAAGGCGGCCCACCCACTACGCGCACTATCTTAGTGCGCGGGGTGGCAGGAGGCACTCACCCACTAGCCCGCTCGCCGGCGGCCCACTCACTACGCGCACTATCTTTAGTGCGCGGGGTGGCAGGAGGCACTCACCCACTAGCCCGCTCGCCGGCGGCCCACTCACTACGCGCACTAACTTAGTGCGCGTGGTAGCCGAGCGAGCCCACCTCTCCGTCCGCCGGCGAAGGGCACTGCGAGCGGCCCGCTGGACCACTCCCCCCCGGCCGGCCGGAGGCACTCACTTCCGCACACTAAGTTAGTGCGCGTAGTAGCCGAGCCCGCCTCCGTCCGCCGGCGAAGGGCACTACGAGCGGCCCGCCGGACCTCCCGGGGGAGCACTTCACCACTTGATCCGCCACGGCGCACCACTAGCCCTCGTCCAGCTCACAGACTAACTTGCGCCGACTTAGTTCCCGCAGGGCCCGGGACCACTCACTCACTGCGGCATCAGTGCTCTTCACACGACCTGGCGAAGGCTCCTGCACCTACGCGCATGTTTCTCTTCAAATCAAGTGCAACACGGCTCGAGCCTCTCAGCGTGCCAACTCGCAATCGGCGCCGGCATGACGCTCACCGACGCCCCTGTCGCTCCGGAGCCCGCCTCCCGGCCGAGGCGACGCGGTCCGCTCGCGCCGCCCTCGCGCGCCGAGGGCGGAGGTGGCCTCGCCGGCGCGCTGCTAGGCCTCGCCGTCGTGCCGGCGCGCGAGGCGGAAAAGTACCCCGAGTTCCGCGCGCGGACGGCCGAGGCGTGGCGGCGGCGGATGCGTGCGCGGCAGCCCATCCCGCTCTCGGCGCGGCTGCCGGCCATCCTCGCCGTCGCGCTCGCCTGCTCTGTCAGTGCCGACTGCGCCGCGCGCCTCTCCGAGCGCGGCGTCTGCTGGCAGGCGCTGCGGGAGACGCGGGTGGGCGGCGCGGCGTGCGAGTTCGCGGTGCAGGCTCGCCCGCTCGCCCGGCGGCTCGGTGCCGCGGCGGAGAGCCTCGCCATGCGGTGGCCACGGATGGCGCTGCAACAACCCGCGGCGCAGCCGCCGCAGCGACAGCGGGTGCAGCAGGTGCTAGCCTCGCGCGGCGGGGGCGGGACTGGGAGCGCGGGGCCTTGGCCCGGCACGCTGCTGCTCACCACGCTCCCCGCGCCCCGCCTCGGCCGGGGGGGCGAGGGTCGGCTGCGGCACAGACCGCTGCAGGCGCTGCAGGAGTGGGAGTCTGCGCAGTGGGAGGCGGTGGCAGCGCGGCTCGGGGGTCTCGGCTCGCTCCCTGCCCTGCCGCGGGCTCCTGCTCTGCCCCGGGCTCCTCCTCGGGCTCTGACCGAGAGAGAGGGGTGAGCGGTCCTCTGGCGCGCTCCGCGCAACGGCGCAATGGCGTGTGTGCTGCGCGCTCTGTCGGGGACGGTTATTGGCAGGGTTGCGCGGTCCTGCGCGTGCGGCTCTAAGCGCGATCCCGGCGTAAGTTGCGATGCATGTATTATTAAAGGCCGTGTCGCCGACAGTTACGAATTAGAACACGCGAATCCGATGAGTAGATAAGCGTCCTAATCTAAAATCTGAGGATTCAGGATTGAGGCATCGCTTCAGTGGGGCCAAAGTGAGTTTATGGATGTGTGAGAACGGTACGGGACACGAGGAGTCACGCGGACCGACTCGTCGGTGACTCTGCTGCACGCCCGAGACGTGGAAGAGTGCCACCGTCGGGTAGGACGGGTCGGCCCGGAGCATCAGAGTAGCCATCGTGGTCGCGGCGAGCAGCGCCGGCCACTCCGGCGCCGCGTCGGCACCGTGGGAGCATGTTCACCGCCACTTCGCGGTCGCAGCGCTGTTTGTCGCCCGAACGCCGCATATCCCTCTGGCGGGCCAAAGATCGACTCGCATGTCGATTTTGACTCGACGGCGGCATGGAGGCATCACGTCTCCATGCCGCCGTCAAGTCGGAGCCAGTCTGCGGCGACCACAGCGCTCACCGCAGGGATAGGAATCCTATGCGAGCTTTTCAGAGTCAAGCGATTGCGCGAAATCCCACACTGCTGGATTTTGGGGCGCTGCGCACCCCCTACACAGCACACGACAAAAATCCTCGCGAGGAGAAAAAATCTCGACACAGGATTTCCATTTCGGGAGAGAGCGGCACACCGCACACACCGGCAAGCCGGGATTAACAGTCACAAGTAGAGGGGCTACGCCGCGGAGAGGCTAACCCTTCGCCCGTGGCCGCTGCCGCGGCCGTCGCGGCCGGGCCTGCTGCTGCTGCTGCTGCTGCTGTTGCTGCTGCTGCCCGCTCGCTGCCGCCGCGCCACCAGGCATGATCACGTCGAGCTCGGCGTCGGTGAGGAAGGCCCACGCGCCCGGCCTGCCGCAGTTGGCGAGCGTGATGCCCGCGAAGCCCACGCGGTGCAGCTTGATCACGTCGAGCCCGCAGGCAGCGCACATGCGCCGGATCTGCCGGTTCCGACCCTCCTCGAGCACGAACCGCAGCCGCGCCTACCCTCGGCTGGTCTCGGCTGGTCTCGGCCGGTCTCGGCCGGTCTCCCTTCCCCCGAACAGGGGGGCGTGGCCGCGCGCCGGCTGGGCGGGCGAGGCATCCCGCTCCACCACGCAGGGCCGCGTCCGTGCGGTGAGCGGCTTGGCGCGGCCGTCGGACTGGGCGAGCGTCGTGATGACCTGCTCGCAGCCGGAGGCTGTGAAGAGCCGCCGTCGGTACGTCCGACTGGGCGAGCGTCGTGTGAGGACCACGCCGGCGGCGAGCCGGGCGATGTCGGCGTCGGTGGCGGGCACATGCGTCGTCACGATGTACTCTTTCCGCTTCCGCTCGCCCGCCCGCAGCAGCGTGTTTGTGAGGCCGCCGTCGGACGTGAGCAGGATGAGGCCTCGAGGAGGGAGGGAGGGAGGGCTCACAGGTCCTCTCCCGAGGCTGCCGCCCGAGGGGGAGCAGCAGCAGAGGACCGCTGCTGTCCTTGTCGAGGCGGCCGATCGGGAAGATGCGCTCTCCCACGCCCTCCACCTCGCCGAGCTCATCGAGGATGTTGCCTAGAAGGCTCCGAGACAGTTCCGAGAAGGTTCCTAGAAGGTTCCCGTACAGCCCGTCGAGGATGTTGCCTAGAGGGCCATCGAACACTCCCCTAGGCAGCCAATCAGACCTGCCGCCTCCTCCTCCTCCTCGGCGTGCTCGCCTCGCACGCGCCGGTCCGTCGTGCAGATCACGCCGCGCCGCTTCCACATCTTGAGGTACGAGAAGCGGACCTGAGTAGAGTCTATTCTGTCATACTCTATTCTTCTGTGTTCCACATCTTGAGGTGCGAGAAGCGGACCCGCTCTCCGCCGACGGCGCCGCTCGCTCCGTTGAGCGGCGCCCAGTCGACCCGCACGCCGTCCAGCGTCACAACGTCCCCCGCCTGCCAGGGGGAATCTCGAGGGGCTCTCGAGGGACTCTCGAGGGAATCGGAGGCCGTCCAGCCCCCCCCCCCCCC